AAATTCGGTTTTCACCTCAACTGAGTGCAACCTTCCGTTCCATGAGCTTGGTAAATAGTGGGTGAACTGGGAAACGTAACGCAAGCTGGCTTCAGGGTCGTAGAAAAAGGTGGCACCTTGATTCATGCTCTCGGCCGAGTTTGCAACTGTCGATGTGTTGAGCGAGTTAGCAGTGATGGCCCAAAGGGTACCAAAGATACTGATGTAGAAGAGTGTGGTTCTGTTCTGAGAAAGCTCAAAGGACCAGAAGTTGTGCTCTTCGTCGTCGAAAAGCAACCCCATAATCACCAATACGGCTGTGATGGCACCCGAAACAAAATTCACCAAGGTCATGCCGTTTACAACCAAGAAACTGCTGGGGAACTGGTTAATGTAGGTGCTTGCAGGTCCAATGGAGAGTTGCAACCTTTTCATGAAAAAATGAGGAAGTTCGTTGAATTCACGAAGCTTCCATTCTGCCCAAGGAGTGTACTGTCTCAAACCAACGAGCGAAGATGGATTCGACTTGTACTCGTTGAAGTACCTGAAGAAGTACAACAACACAAAGTAGATCACGATAAAGGGACAGAGGAAAAGATTGATGAGTGCAGCCATCTTGAAGCGGGCACTGAGCTCCTGTGAGAGACTATTTCTTGAGCCCTCTTTCAAGATCGCCTGTTTGATCTGCCCGCTGTCGTTGAAGATGAAGTTGTTGATGCAAAGCTTGAGGTTCCACTCCAAGGTTCTTGTAAGCACAGCCTTGCTGGAGAAAATGTTGCCAAGGAACGACGGCATTGGAATGGCCAAATCTAGCACGTCCTTGTTGATCAATGCAATCATGTAGTTTTCCTTTCTCATGATTCGATTGGCAATATCGTGAGCGTTGAGTCTGACCTTTGAGCTAAGGTCGTTGACGTAATGAGGCGGGAGATTAGGTGTGGTTGACGTCAAGGAGTTGTAGTCCTTCAACAGCATGAGACTTTCGACGATCGAGGACCACAGAATGGTCAGTAGTTCCTGTTCGCTGTGGATATTGAGAAGCTGAGCGTAGAAGTTTCGAAGCTCTTGCAATTTGTACCGATAGTCAAAGTACAACTGCACAATCCGAAGCACGATGTAACAGAAGAAGCCGAACAAGAGGACCTTCACTGAGAATGGCACCCTCGACCAGAAGAAGCCCTTGATCACCAAGTCCAGCAAGGTGATGGAGACTTCCAGGTGTGACGACCACCTGTTGAAGAACAAGTCGTAGTCTATGCCCCACTTGAGAAACGTGGTGAAGGACAAAATGAACACAAGGATGAAGATGTCAACACAGCGTCCAGCGATGATATTGCCAAAGCCCTTGCCACGGTAGTAGTAGTATAGGTCGATGAGAAACTCGTCCATGTTGACGATGTTGGCCCAGAGATAGAGGGCTCTCTCTCTCGGAGGAATCAGCACCCTGTTGAAGTTCTTCTTCTGGTACTGAGTGTGGAACGACGGAGTAGGCTCAGCTCGGGGTTCCCGCCTATGCTGCAATGCCGCGTCGTTTATGTTGTACATTGGCAAAAGCTCCTCCTGGGGTCCTCTAGAGAAGAGTCTCCTGGACAGCGTAAACCGACCTTTTGATCCCAGCGCTTCTTCGCTATCTTTGCCGTATCGGTTCACGTCGGTTCCCCATTTAACGTGTGCATGCTGATCTGTCTTGCTGGCGTTCACCAGCAGTCTGGGGGCTAGAAACGGCAGCTGTTGGCTTTCATCTTCAGAATCCAGAGAGAGGTCCAGATCCAGCTCCAGCTGGAGAAGAGGCTCGGCCAAGGGCGGCTGTTCTGCGTTTTCAGAGTCCAGGAGAGGAACAGGTCCGGATTCAGCCGGCCTGGACTCCTCGAGCTGCTCGATATCGTGGCCGTAGTAGTTGTAGTTCTCGGGAAGATTGTTGTAGATGGAATGAAGGCCGAAGACGCGGGACAAAAACGTGTCGGACTGGTTTTGGCGGTCCTTGTGGCGGGACGAGCCAATCCCTTCGTAGAATGACATGGTGGGTGTTTTTGGGGAGGTGTAGTGGATGTGTTGATGGTGTTTCTGATTATGTGGGTCACTGATAGCGCTGCAGCTATATGTAGGCTTATCGGAGTGAAGCAGGGGTATGTGCCAGTGGGCATGAATTTAGGGAAAAGATTTCAGGAAAAGGATAGAGGGATTTTGTTATGGGTGGTTGTTTTTATTGGAGAATATTGGGGGTCGTTTTGTAGGGTGTATTGTCTGATAGGCTACTCTGCGTTGTGGCTGCGAAATGGACAATATGGCCCGTTGTCAAGAGGAGGAATTCGTTGCAATGGGGTGTACAGAAAGAATTGCTTGCTTTATTGATGTTTTTATTCTGTGGGTTTTTCGTTGAAATGAAGATTTGGTAGTATACGGATTCCTTGCTTGTGTTCTGAAGTGTGGCTGTAAAGTCCTCAGTAGACAAGCTGACCAAGAACCAGTTGCGGTCGTCTGAGACTCGATAACTAATACTGTATCAAAGCAGGTTCTGGAAGTCATCTGGAAGGTTTTTTTCGATAATTGGCTTGATTGGATGCTTATGCAAGATTATGGCTATCTCGGTCCTCTGTGGAAAGGTCCACTTCAACCGCCAGGAACAAAGGCTCTCGTGCATTGACAGAACCTTAATTTGTCTTTTTCTCGAGGAATCATCCCACTACCGAACTGAGGGCTATTCCCGATTTTGTCGTAGAATAGCCTCATCGCCTTATTCCCTATGCTACACCGACAACTACCACAAATAGTCAGCCATGCAATTGAACTCTACAGCCTACGAAAACATCCCAATGGAATCCCGAAATTGCACTTACACCCCAAATCATTTCACCCGTATGTACCCTCAAACAGCTCAAACCGTTCAACTCATCCAAACCACCAAATACCATCCAACTGACATCCACTCAACTAACCCCAGTCCAACATCACCAAACCTCCTCCGCCAAAATCACTCCACACCTAAATCTCACCTCCTGCCCGGCGGCTCAACCAAAAAGACCTACTTCCAACAGCTTTCCAAACTTTCCAAACGCTTCCACTGTTCAGCGCCTAAATCCAAGAGACCCTCGCAATCGAAAAAGTCCGGCCCGATGCACAATGGAAAGTTGCTAGGTAAGCAGCTAAAGCAAGCGTTTTTTTTCAAAGGTGGACCGCCGCTTCAATTACGTCAGGAACAGCCGTCAATGCACGTGCAAGCAAGCGTTAGACGGACCCATGGCTGCAAAACCACAGTTTGCTGATGCAGTTGCTGTGGACTATAAAGCGTCGAGATCACCCTGAATTTTTCACCATTGAATAACAAAATGTCCACCACTGTCCTTATTTCCGGCGCCTCTGGCTTCATTGCCTTGCACACTGTTCAGGAACTCGTCAAGAAAGGCTACTCCGTCGTTGGATCTGTGAGATCTAGCGAGAAGGGTGAGTACGTCAAGAAAGAGTCTGGCAACCCCGAGAAGTTCTCGTACGAAATCGTCGAGGATATCGAGAAAGAAGGTGCTTTTGACGAATTTGTTAAGAAACACCCAGAAGCCACCGTTTTCTTGCACACGGCCTCTCCATTCCACTTCAATGCCGTGAACATCGAAAACGACTTGCTTTTGCCTGCCGTCAACGGTACCAAAAACGCCTTGAAGTCGATTCAGAAGAACGGTTCCGGCATCAAGAGAGTGGTCATCACATCCTCCTACGCTGCCATTGCTTCTGCCGAACAGGATGCTCAGGCTGACAAGACCTACGATGAGTCTTCATGGAACAACATCACCTGGGAGCAGTCGCTTGAAAACGCTGTTGCCGGTTACTACGGATCCAAGACTTTTGCCGAAAAGGCCGCCTGGGACTTTGTCAAGGAGGAGAAGCCCGACTTTGTCATTTCCACCGTCAACCCAACCTACGTCTTCGGTCCTCAACCAACCAACTCTTTCCAATCCACCCAATTGAACACCTCCTCTGAGGTCATCAACACCATTTTGAAGATCAAGGGTACCGAGGAGAAGGTCAACCCAGTCAATGCTTCTGCTGTGGATGTTCGTGATGTTGCCAAGGCCCACCTTGTTGCTTTTGAGAAGGACGAGGCCAAGAACCAGAGATTGCTTTTGAACTCGGGTCTGTTCACCCAGCAGACCATCTTGGACGTTTTGCACGTCGAGTTCCCTAGTGAATCCCAGCATGTTCCTATTGGAACCCCAGGTTCTGACAGAGAGGAGATCAAGAAGAGAGCTACTTTGAACAACGACAAGACCAGAAAGATCTTGGGCTTTGAGTTGATCTCTGTGGAGCAGTCTATCAAGGACAGTGCCAAGCAGATTCTTGAGGTCGAGGACAAGCTCAAGACCAACGACCTCAACTCCAAGCACCAGCAGTTGTAAGTACATGAAGTGATGTTGAATGAATGAAATTAGAGGATAGCAAGGTGTAGAGGAAGTAGGTTGGCTTTGGAATGAACTGAGGAGAAAAATGAAAAGACTGTATTGTGAGTATATCGTTCATACAGACAGCTTCAAACCGAAAATGTGTGAATTTTATAGCTTACGGATCGAACTTGGCGTCAGGGAAGCGTCACCGAAGCTGTACGTAAACATTCATGCGTCAGGGCTGCTCGATAATCGTACGGCTTGTGTCCCAAAAAAAGACACGGCACTACTTCTAAATTTGCAACCACATCTAGCCAGACCGCTTTTTAGCGAATGATGGCTGAGTTAATTCTTCTGCTTCTTCTTCTTCTTCTTTCACCAACGACAAAAAACGACATTCTTGTCACTGATTCTATAGTTACAGGCTATCTTCCACACTTTGTGCCTCCTTCTCCTCATTCTCGTAACTCCCAAAAGCACACTGGCTTATTTCGGATCCAACAACCCGTATACAACGAATCAGTTGATGGCACGCCGCATCTAAGCGTTTGTGCTTCAACAAAGATGCGCTTACCTAATAAACCAGATAAGCTCCGGACCGTAAAGCACCTAAGTATAAGTATCCTGCCGTATTTTCAAAATGCCAGTATGACCCATGATGTGCCGAAAAAAGTGCTCGTTTCTGGAGCTTCTGGTTTCGTAGCTTTACACACTATTCAGCAGCTTCTTGAAAAAGGCTGCATTGTGGTTGGATCCGTGAGAAGCATTGAAAGAGGCGAATACGCAAGAGAGGCTACACAATACTCCACCAGATTCACCTACGAGATAGTGGAAGACATAGGTAGAATGGGCGCCTTTGACGAGTTTGTCAAAAATCACCAGGATGCATCCGCTTTTCTTCATATGGCATCCCCAGGGTTTCATCCAGTCAAAGACATTGAGAGAGAGCTTCTCATGCCAGCAATCCACGGTACTAACAACGCTCTTCTGTCCATTCGAGATCACGGTCCAAATATAAAAAGAGTGGTTATCACCTCCTCATATGCCGCTATGGCCTCTGAGAAAATGGAAAACGAGGCAGGCAGAATCATCGACGAAACATCATGGAACCCCACTTTCTGGGTTAATGCTTTGAGAAGCCCCTCTTTAGGTTACTCTGGAGCAAAGACATTTGCCGAAAAGGTCGCCTGGGATTTTGCCAAATTCCAGAATCGCTCCTTTTCCATCACAACCATCAACCCCGTTTGCATTATAGGCCCACTGCCTACCGATTTTGGCGATACTGAAAAACTCAAGTTTGAGGAGCATTTAAGCAGTTTCTTGCCTTTGGAGAACACTAGAGCCATCAGTGCATTTGGAGTGGACGTGAGAGACGTTGCAAAAGCACATATCGTGGCTTTTGAAAAGGAAGAGGCCAAAAATAGAAGGTTGTTTTTGGCAGCTGGTCCGATCTCTGAACAGGCCATTTTTGAAGCACTTCGACTGAATTTTCCTGGGTTTTCGGCTCTGCTACCGGTGGGGTACGCTGAATCAGGCAGAAAAGAGCAAATTCAAAAAGCCGGTTTTGACATTTCAGCGACGAGACTGATTCTAGGGTTCGATTTCATCCCCGTGCAGCAGTCTATCATAGATAGCGCTCAGCAGGTGCTTACGGCGACGAAATCAAAGGGAGAGACAACGTAATTTTGTTTTTTTATAGATTCTTTAATTTATGGGTTTGGTAAGATGACTGCAATTTTCCAGTGGTTCACCAGAATCTACAAATTGTGCGAGACTACTGGGATTTCGCAGAAATCAGATAAATTGGTACACGAAAAATAAATCCGATAACCAAAAATAATGAAAAGAAAATATTTATGGAAATCTTGGATTAGGAACAAGATTGCAAAGAACATGTGCCAAAAAGTGTAATTACCTTCAGAGTTAAAAGTCTACTCAGCCCCAGACCAGCCCCCGTAGTCAAGTGCAACGTTACCAACCACTGACTGTGAAAAAGGATCAATTCCAGCAATCAAGCTTAAGAGGATTTGAGTACTTTCCTGATACACTGATCTGAAGCTTTATTAACGTAAGAAGATCCAACATCGCTTTCCACGCTATCTACTGAGAATGCACAGGCGCACAATTCACGTAGCATACCGCCTAGACCAGGTGCAATTTACCCACACAGCATGCTCTTGAAAGCTTAATTTTGTTTACTTCAACTCCCTTGGACATTTGAAGAACTACCAATCTCCGGCTCACACAGCCCAGCTCCAGGGACCAGCTGTTTCCACGTGATCGTACCGGCTTTATTTTTCATACTACATTCAGACACAGCCGCTGTTTGACTACACTATTTGAGATTTAGCAGAGCCACCGATCGCGCCGCCTCCTATTAATCTACAGTGGCCGCGTCTGCCACCACCACACTCCAATTTCCACATCTCCACAAATTTCCATTTTTTTACTCTCAAAAGTAAATCCAGTAAATATTGGCGGCCGCGCCGGAAAAACTTCACGGTTTCGCGTCGGGCAATATGCCAAAAAGCTGTCAAAACTATTGTGTTCGTCTCGGCAGTGCAGACTGTGTGCAGTCCCAAAGGAGGGTTTTGTGCGAAGCTGCAAAACGGCCTTCACCATGAGGAGGCTGTGTGGACGCGACAAGGAGGATTATGCCAAATAAAACTAGTAGAGTAAAAATTGATGGACTGGTGACAGGGGCAGGTAGGAGATTCAGGCATATAGGCCCGGTGTGCAGGAAAAAAGCCTGCTTCCCAGGGCGTGTATCCCTGCTTAGAGGTGCTGCAGCAGCAGCAAGTACCCGATCCGAGGCAGCCTAAAAAAAACACCAAAAATAAAAAAAAAAATGTATACTCCCGTGCCTAGCCGCTCGTTGCTGCTTTCTACAAACTACACGTTCTTTTCCTCCCAGTCGAATCAAACCCACCCTGCTAGATCAGGCGTATTTATCCGACCCCCCTATAGGAGCCCCGAGCTACCCAGCTGCATTTAATTACCTCACTTTTGCTGCAATTTCTTCAGCGCCAAGCCAAACAGAACATCGCCTAACCTCTACACAAGAAAATCGACAACTGTCAACGCAGTCTTTTTTTTCTTGTCCGCAGATTTTGCAACCTTATACTTTCTTGATCAGGAACACCAAGCTTATCGAATCGCTATCTGAAGCGCAACATGGTTCGTGATCTCACCTTCAACGCTCCCCTGCTGGGTTACGAAACCCCCCAGAACCCGTTTGCCTCCGAGCTAGACAACGAAAACAACTCCAGAGACTCCAACTCGTCTTTTGCCTCTCTGGAGCACTTGCAGCACAGTCCAAGCCAGTATGGAAATCGCTTAGGTGCTGCTTCGGGATACTACTCCAACGACACCTCGGCCAACTTATTGCTGGGCCACAGTTCGCTGGATCAGGCACAGGCAGGGCTTCAAATGCCGTCGGAGTTTGACAGGTACCCGCTGATGGCCGGATCGAGAGTGGTATCGCTGACTTCCTTGGCGTCTCAAATGAGACAAGAATACCTGCCCAATGTGGGGCTGGATCTGGCTACGCCTGAGGACGATGCGCTGATGAAGAGCCTGAATCCGTTTTTGGCAAATGTCGATTTCTCGCCCTTTGGCGGCTACCCTGCTCTGTCATTTCCTCTCAGTATCGATGAAAAAGAACCAGACGACTACTTGCACAACCCGGATCCCATTGCCGACGCCGCATACGATAAGAACAGATTCTGGTATGACTTGAAGACCATGGATAAACGTGCTGCCGGAGGCATTATTGGTGTGATTTTCTTGCTTCTCGGCGCCATTGTCATTTTCGTTCTTTTGCCTGTTTTCTTCTACTCGGGTGTCACCCAGCCCTACCATCCAGAACACTACGAGGTCTTGTCTCACTACAAGTACCCGCTTTCGAGCTCCATCAGAACCTCTTTGGTCGATCCAGACACTCCAGAGGACGCCTTGTACAAGAACAACCAGTACGGCGAGAAATGGAAGTTGGTTTTCTCGGATGAGTTCAACGCCGAAGGCAGAACTTTCTACGACGGTGACGACCAGTTTTTCCAGGCGGTCGATATCCACTACAGTGGTACTCAGGACTTGGAATGGTATGATCCAGATGCTGTCACCACCGCTAACGGTACACTTATTTCCCAGATGGACGCCTACAAGAACCACGATTTGTTTTACCGGTCTGGAATGGTCCAGTCATGGAACAAAATGTGTTTTAGCCAGGGAATGATCATGATTTCGGCCCAACTTCCCAACTACGGTTCTAAAGGTGGTCTTTGGCCTGGTCTTTGGACCATGGGTAACTTGGGTCGTCCAGGTTACAGAGCATCGACAGAAGGTCTCTGGCCATACACGTACGATGCTTGTGACGCTGGTATCACCGCCAACCAATCTTCGCCAGACGGAATTTCGTATCTTCCAGGCCAGAGACTTAACTCATGTACATGTTCTGGAGAAGACCACCCCAACGCCGGAACCGGCCGTGGAGCGCCTGAAATCGATATCATCGAAGCCGAAACAGACACCAACACATTGAAGCTCGGTTTGGCATCCCAGTCCTACCAGATCGCTCCCATGGATATCTGGTACATGCCAGACTACAGCTACTTGGAGATCCACAACCCCGAAGTCACCAGTGCCAACGTTTACACAGGAGGCCCACTTCAGCAGGCTGTTTCCGGTGTCACCACGCTTAACAACACTTGGTACGAGCGTGGAGAAGGTGCTGGACATTTCCAGGTCTACGGATACGAGTACCTCAACGACAACGAAAACGGGCATTTGACCTGGTACGTTGGCGAGGACCCCACGCTTACCGTCCACGCCAAAGCGCTTGGACCCAACGGAAACGTGGGCTGGAGAAGGATATCCAAGGAGCCCATGTCTGTGGTGATGAACTTTGGTATTTCCAACTCGTGGGCCTACATTGACTGGCCCACAATGGTGTTTCCCTCTCGTCTCCGGGTGGACTATGTGAGAGTGTACCAGCCTGAGGACCAGATCAACGTCACCTGTGATCCTGAGGACTTCCCAACCACCGACTACATCGAGCTGCACTTGAACGCATACATGAACAGCAACTTGACGCTTTGGTCCGAGACGGGCAACAAGATGCCCAGGAACAAGATTACCGATAAGTGTTAGGCAATAGCTTTTAAGACTTGAGAATTGGTGTGATTTGGTTGCAAAGGCTGGTATAGTGTTTTTCGCAGCCACGCAGGGTCCCCATGGACAAAGGCAGAACCACCAAGAGGCGGAAGCAATGAGGCATCAGTTTTTGAAAACATGCATTTTCTATGGAAGTTGAAAAATTCTCAAACGGCCATTTCTTCAAATGCCACTTCTTATGCCTTCAAGTCAAATGCCCTTGCTTCTGGTCAGCGCTCGTTCAGGCTGTGAGTGCCGTGCCGTTTTCTGTCTGCTTTGTTTAGACAAATTTGGCAGGTCTCGCGCTGCTTCGCCTCGCTGGGTCCACAAATGTACGGGAGAACGGAGAAACTCGAAAAACGCTGGTTTCCACAAATCCACCAAAAATATCCCAAATCGCCCAAATCTGATCAAATTACCGCCGTCACCAGACTTCAGGGCTTCGAGGTCCATGGGGTTGCTCCGGCCGTCCTGCGTACAGCACGGAGGCTGAGACAGGTACCCGGACAAGAAACTCGATGATTGGACAATTTGGCTGATTTTGCGGATTTTCTAAATTTGGCGGCTGTGGAACCCCAGATCTGATAATTTTTCAAGTGTCTGTTTTTGTGCCGCTGTTTGTGCCGCAGCCTGAATCAGGCGCAGCTGCTTTCGCAGCCATCACCAGAAAATAAAGTATAGGCTCGGCCAATGAAAAAAGCGGACGATTGCCGTGGCGGCCCCTGATTTCTGGAACTTTTCGAGAAAAGCTGTTTTTCGGTATTTTCCAAAAATTTCAAGCCCACATAGCAAAATCTGCCCTCGCTAGAGCCGTGTCTCGCTTTCTGCGCTTCATCTGGTGCGCAGGCGGCTAAATCTGGCGATTCTCGCGCCTTGTCCCTTGCGCAGCATACCACCAGATTCCAAACAACGGAGGACGAAAAGACGAAAAATACTAAGGAAATTCAAATTTCATCTTTTTTGTTGTTTTTCGAATTCAAAGAAATTCCCGTTTTTCTGTGCCCATCCTGGCTTCTGTGCACTGACCTGCCTGGACTCAAGCCTTGCTTCATCGTCGCGCCTGGTCTTGGCAGCCAAGTCTTGCTTGCCTGCCCTCCTTCAGCCTCCAAAAAACTACACCTACTTCTTCCACAACTTCTTTTTTTTTTGTGGCTTCAGATCTAAGAAAGTTCAAGTTTTCCATTCGTTCATCGCTGGCGCCGAAACCATCCCCACACATCCCCCATTCCACAAACCCATAACGCCAGGGTCTATTTATACCGCGCACAGCCGAAAATAAACCATCAAAACTTCCTCCTGATCCATCAACCACTACTCCATCTTTTCCCATCATGTCCCACCGTGACTTAACCAACAACGGCTACGTGGACAGCCCTCGTAACCCCTTTGACGACGGTCTGGGTCTGTACGATCTGAGCCATTTTGATGAAGCTGCTCTGGATGAGTTGCTCCAACACTCTCCCGTGGATGACTCCAACAGGAACAGCTACCACGGCTACTACGCCGACAGAAACACCCGTCACATGTCGCTGCCTTCCCAGCAGGGCAACTTGGTCGCTCCCACAGAGTTCAACAGGTACCCTAGTCTTGCCAACCTGAGAGAACACTCCCTGACATCGCTTCTGGAGCAGTTCAAGAGATCCCACTCCCAGTACACCCAGTTGACCCAGAACGGCCTGGAAACCACCTCCAGCAACGGCGAGAACGTGCTGGACCCGTTTTTGGCCAAGGTGGACCTTTCCCCGTTCGGTGGGTATCCTGCTGACCAGTTCCCACTTCACATTGACGAGAAGGAACCGGATGACTACTTGCACAACCCAGACCCCATCGCCGACGCTGCATACGACAAGAACAGGTTCTGGTACGATCTCAAGCACATGGACAGACGCGTGGGCTTTGGTCTCGTGGGCTTCATTCTTCTTTTGCTCGGTGCCATCGCTGTCTTCATTCTTATTCCCGTGCTCACCTTCTCGGGCGTTACCAACCCTTACAAGCCCGAGTCCTACGAGGTTTTGACCCCCTACGTTTACCCGCTCTCCAGCGCCATCAGAACGTCTTTGATCGACCCTGACACTCCAGATGAAGAGCACACCAGAATCAGCTCTAACGGTGACGAGTGGGTCTTGACTTTCTCGGACGAGTTCAACGCTGAAGGCAGAACTTTCTACGACGGAGATGACCAGTTTTTCCAGGGTGTCGACATCCACTACCAGGCCACCCAGGATTTGGAGTGGTACGACCCTGACGCTGCCACCACCTCCAACGGTACCCTTCACATCACCTTGGACGCCTACAAGAACCACAACTTGTTCTACAGATCGGCTATGCTTCAGTCATGGAACAAGATGTGTTTCTCTGAGGGTCTTATTGTCACTTCGGTCAACTTGCCCAACTACGGTCACAAGATGGGTCTCTGGCCCGGTCTTTGGACTTTGGGTAACTTGGCCCGTCCAGGTTACTTGGCTTCTACTGAGGGTGTTTGGCCTTACACTTACGACTCGTGTGACGCCGGTATCACCGCTAACCAGTCGTCGCCTGATGGTATCTCCTACTTGCCAGGTCAAAAGTTGAATGTCTGCACGTGTTCGGGCCAGGACCACCCCAACGCCGGAACGGGTCGTGGTGCTCCTGAGATTGATATCATTGAGGGTTCCATCGATGACACTCTTAAGACCGGTGTGGTGTCCATGTCGTACCAGATTGCTCCATACGATGTGTGGTACTACCCAGACTACAGTTTCGTCGAGATTCACAACAACGAGGTTTGTGCCATGAACACTTACACTGGTGGTCCATTCCAGCAGGCCGTCTCGGGTCTTGTCACCTTGAACACCACCTGGTATGAACGTGGTGAGGGTGCTGGTAAGTTCCAGGAGTACGGATACGAGTACATGAACGACGACGACGAAGGTTACATCACCTGGTACGTCGGTAAGGGCGAGGAAGGTGCTGCTTTCACCTTGCACGCTTGGGCCTTGAGTCCTAACGGTAACGTTGGTTGGAGAAGAATCTCCAAGGAGCCCATGTCCATCATTATCAACTTGGGTATCTCCAACTCGTGGGCTTACATTGACTGGCCTTCCATCATTTTCCCATCGCACATGAGAGTGGATTATGTGAGAATCTACCAGCCTCCAAACGCCATCAGCATGACATGTGACCCCGACGGGCATCCAACCGTCGATTACATCGAGAACCACAAGGACGCCTACTACAACAACAACCACACATCGTGGGAGATGGCCGGCTTTACGTTCCCAAAGAACAAGGTTGTTGGATGTTAAGCATGATTTCCAGTCCTTCGCTTGATTGATTTCACTATAAAGAAAAGAAAAAAAAAAAAAAAAACAGAAAAAAAAAGGAGGGTGGAGCTCAAGGTTTGCTGAAGAGAACTGAGCTATTCACGCCACCAAACCCGAACGAGTTGCACAAGCCGTGGCGCACCAGCCTCTCCTTGGCCTCGTTGGCAACATAGTCGAATGTGAACTGTGTCGGGTCATCGTCCTTGTGGCGACCAACATTTTGTAAATTAAGAGTGGGCGGCACCAGCCCCGTTTCAATTGCCTTCAACGTAAAGGCCGCCTCGACCGCTCCCGCAGCGCCGAGCAAGTGGCCGATGGACGATTTCGTCGAAGACACGGCAAGGTTAGAGTTTTTAGCAAATAAAGTCAGTATTGCGTGGTTTTCGGCCCGATCGCCAATCACCGTCAGTGTGGCGTGGGCATTGACGTAGTCGACCTGAGATGGATCGACTTTGGCTCTTTCAAGTGCCATTTTCATGGCTGCTAACGCTCCATCCCCGGTTTCAAGCGGTGCAGTGATATGGTTAGCATCTCCAGATAAACCGTATCCAGAAACCTCCGCATAGATTTTAGCTCCTCTCTTTTTGGCCATTTCCATGTTCTCTAGCACCAAAATACCACATCCTTCACTGAGCACGAAACCGTTTCTATCTCTATCAAAAGGTCTCGAGGCTTTCCAAGGTTCATCTTCATATTCAGTAACCACAGAACGGGCTCTAGCAAAACCAGCCAAGGCTAGCGGGTGAATGGACGCTTCCAGACCTCCACAGACCATAGCATCAGCATATCCATTGTGTATAAAATTGTAGGCATCACCTATAGCGTTTAAACCAGTAGCACAGGCTGTAGACACAGAATGGAGAGGACCTCGAAGGCCGTACTTTATGGAGATGTTTCCTGCCGCCATGTTATTGAGAAGCTTTGGAATAAAAAGCGGCTGGACCCTTTTGTAGCCCTTTTCGTGAAATGCTACCGAGTTGTTGTAGGCATCCTCAAACAGGCCAATTCCCGACCCGACCGCCACACCCATCTTGCTTCTGTCTATGCTTTTCAAATCCAATTTTGAATCTTCAAGAGCCTCCTGAGTAGCCACAATTCCGTACTGAGTGAAAAGGGCCCATCTTCTGGCGTCCTTATCAGCACATCTGTCTGGATCCCAGTTTTGCACTTTTCCAATCACTTTGGATGGAACCTTATCCCAGCCCTCTTTGTAGTCGGGTAGTTGTTTTGTAGAAATGAGGCCAGAGGCGCCTTTTATGAGATTATTCCATGATGTCTGGGTACCGATGCCTAGAGGAGTCACCAAACCGATTCCGGTGACTGCCACGCGAGACATGCTGAATCAATGCTTCTCTGGTTGGGACGAGGGAAATTGAAATGCAACGTTGCGGTTGTCTCAATTGAATGGAACGTTGCAGTTGTAGGTGGTTGGGTAGTTGAGGTAAGGTGGGTGGTAGTATGGGGAATAACCTGTGCAGGTTGATGAAGGTGGAGCCGATGAATGTGAGTCAAGCGAGTCACGAATCACAGGTATTTTGAGTCAAGATGCAATTTAGTCGTTTTTTCTGATTCGATGTTTTTGTCGTAGTTTCTATTTCTATGATACTTGATATGTGCCGAGGCTGCACCATCTTGCTGGATATCACCAACCGAACTTTCTGCCACTGTCATCAAAAATGGATCGTCAGGAGCATGACTAATCTTTTCTCATTGTGCTTCCACCACCTCTATAAGGCAAACTCATGCGCCAATGAATGAGTCCGATGCCTCACTTCAAGGCATCTCTATAACAAACGTACCTCTTCTCATCGCCAAGAATGAAATTCACCGGGCTTTCCACCATGGATTGGGGTAAATCAAAGTGGTTACAGAGATCCACCCACTTTTCAAAGAACAGATCTGCCTGCAGCTCGTGCTCTTGATGTGCAACTTCCAACCCCTTCAACTCGGCAGCCACAAATTCAGCTACTCGCTTCACCTTAAGGTTCTCGCCCTTGTAGCCGCTCTTCTTGAGCTTTTTTTCGTATTCGGCGAATTCCACCAAAGTGGCTCGAAATTGTCGGTAGAGCTTGTCCTGGTCCTCGACCTCAGAGTCTATAGGATACTGCTCTTTGAATTGAACATAGGGCAACTTTCGTATCTCGCTTTTGTGCTCCTGAAGTGATTGAAAAAAGCGGAGGACTTCAGTAGGGTAGATGCCGCTTTTAGAGTCACCCTGCTCAGCAACCCATTCATTGAAAATGGTCTCCTTGGTCTCGTCCAGAATCGTATAGAAAGCTGGCTCCTGTGCCAAAACCGATACAAGCTCCTCGGCCACAAGAAACCACGGGTCGTACTTGGAGAACGTGCCCTGATGCTGCGATAGTAGTTCCTTGAAAGCAGATTTAGCATCTTCCCCAGAATCATCTTCACCTTCGTCCTCCAGGATTCCGAGCTCTAGCCCGGCATTGACGTCCTCCTCCGATTCAGCGACATCACTTCCGTCAACTTTCTCTGGATCAACATCCTCTGGATCAACATCCTTTTCAGGAATCTCGGCCTCCTCTTCTGCCTCCTCTTCAGAGTCACTTCCGTAGCCTTGAAGAATCCCCAATCCTCCAGTCTGCTCCTTGGCCTCTTCCTCTTCCTCCTCCTCTTCTTCCTCCTCTTCAGCTGGGCCTGCATCCGCCACAATCGACCCAATCAAGTCGTGTGGTACCTCTGGCTCCACGTACTCCTCCTCTTCTTCACTTTCAGGGTTCTCCATCTCCTCCACCTTTTCCTCCACTTTCTCCACGATTTCCTCCTTTTGAGCCTTCTTCACCTCCTTCCGCGGCCGCTCCTTCTCTCTGGGCGCCCAGCCGCGAGATTTGGCGAAAAGCACCGCCAATTGGTTGTAATCGATCTTCTCCAGTACTCCCTCATCGGTTTCCGTGATCTGCCACACCGACGTTTTTGTGGCCGAATTGAAGTAGAAATGCCGGCTTTGGTCCGTCACCACCACGTGCCACGGCGTTTCCGGCACAGAGTACACAAAAAGGGCATTTCCAGCCGCCATGGTGTGATGAAGGTGGTTTTGGTTGCAAACCGCGATGTTGATAATCTGCAAGGCTGGAGAGGTGTGGGTGTGGTGACGGAGACGGGGATTGATAAGATAGAATTTTTTATTTCTATGAATGTGGTTATATAATTGGGTGGATTTTTTTTACACTTTTAGGAATTTTGGGCTGGTACGGCACTCGGTTGGTGAAAACCCACCGGGGTACCTCATACTGGTTCGCCAGGTGAGAAGTCCACCAGATCTCTAACACCCCACAAATCTGATCGTTTCTTATTGTTTTAAAAGAACTCATTTAGAAATATCTGTGGCGCCCCGATGGGCTAACACCTATATTGACTCGAAACGGACAAATTTGTGAGTGCCATTTTAAAGACACCATCCATCCAGACAATAGTGTCAAAGCACTCAAGACCAAGACGAATGTGGTCTAATTGAATGTTGCCTAATTGAAACAAATTTAGATTCACAGAAGAGTCGGTTTTTGGATTTGGAGACTGTCGTGGAAGCTTCACACCATCGTTCAAGGCAGACAAGGCATCCATTGGATAATCACTGCCTCCTTGTTTTCAACGCAAATTGTGGAGATTTCTGAACAGTGAATCATGGTACTTTTGCCTTCCCTTCTTCATAGAATAACTCATTGGAGGCTGCCCCACATTGCCAAAACCCCATTTGTCCAATACTACCTCCACCAGCAAGCGTCAATATGCTGTGAGTCAAAACCATCTTTTGTTGCATAAACCCTAATTCCGACCCCTGATTCTTATCAACGCAAGTCTAGACTGTAGCTCAATGGGTAACTCATTTTGGAAAATAAGCTTCTCAAAGCAGATGCAACACCAATTGATCGTCGATGATAATGCACCTGATACAGCTGGCTTCCATTCAAACCGACACTCAACCAACAATTCCAGATCCATAAAATCAAACTCGAGCATCAACAAAATTCCCCCATTGATGCTTCTAAACTTCAATAGACAAAATACCCACTGAATCTCCATAAAATCGCAAACGCAATCCACCATCACCACATACCTCCACCCCTGATCATCGCCATTATCACCCACTCTCCGATCGCCATTACTGATTGTTTCGTCAATCGTTATTCATTGTATTGCACTATAAATTTCGTAACCTCATTGAAAATGACCTCACCAAGAAATCATGAAAACGGAACAAATGATATTGAAGTTCCTCTTTTTCCTCAATCTGACAGAACGTAGAAAGACGCTCCACTTCATGGTACAATGTATTGTAAAGAATAATTGAGAGGATCCCCCTATTGATATACCAAGCTTTTGAGGGGACAAGATGGAATATTTCCTGGGCTTGGTACCCAATTGGGCCTTGGTCCGAGATCGACCCAACAATTTTACGAGATTCTACGCATGTTCCAAAAACCGAATACATTGATAAATCAAGCTATGCTTACGAGCTGCCGGAGTCACACGAGCACTCCAGCCAGCTTTCCCAGAGAAGTAGAGAGAAAATAATGGGGTCCACGGGTGCTCTTCCCCCCTTTGGCTGCAAATGGAGCAATGGGCCATGTCGGTAGCGGGGAAGATACGGAGCGGAGTCGCCATTATTGGCAGTGGCACATAATCTGTGCACGATAGCCGCCGTGCGAGCGAAAGAGTGGCCTGGACGACGTTTGCTAGTGTGGACACTTTCGACCCCTGGTGGGTATTTCGGACGGGATCTTGCATCGCCGGGGCGGCTCAAAAACTCCGAAGTTCCCCTTTTCGCATCCCCACCGCGCTCAACGTAAATTTTTTTGTTGCCCTGCCTGCTAGCTGTTTTATTTTTTTGAGCTGTCGCGTCACGTGACCCCATTCTTGCAGCGGAGAGATTTGCTGCCCAAAAGCAGTAATGGGGGAAATACCTGGAAGAAGACTTCCAGCGCCAGTCCGATCCGTGGGGCCGCAGGCCATTTCTTGACGTGGAGGGGTCCATAGAGGAGGGGTCAAATAGGAGACCATCGTGGGAACCCAGCGAAACATCGGCGATTGCAACGTCACCGCAGTTGCAGCCGCACCTGGTCCTGGTGATACCACCCGCTTCCGTTTCCGAAAGAATTATGATACCAACATGTTGACAGACATCTTCATCCGCTGATCGTCCTTGCCCTTATCGTCGTCCTCCTCGGGCGCCTTCTTACACGATTTGCGGATCCGCAGAACCGCCACCTCCGAGCCTTGGTGGAGGTTTTTGGCGTGCCGTAGTAGCAAGTCCCGTCTAGAGAACGGGCGCAGGCATATGCCGCAAATGTAGGGCTTGAGCTTGTTGTGAGTCAGTAGAATGTGTCTGGTAAGGTGCTCTTCACGGGTGAATGCCCGCTGGCAATGTTTGCAATTGAAGATGCGCAGGTTCCCTGTGGCCGTTTTGGTGCCATAGCCGCCGTGGGCCAAAGGCGGGAAAGTGGTGGCATTGTGGAAACCCAGCGATGAAAGTGAGGCCAGGTCGTTCTGGTCTAGCATGGCACGAGGCGTAGATTCGGCTTCTGGCTCGTCTGCCGAACGAGCCATCGTGAGCACATACGGATGGGGAATCTTGGGAGGAGCTTTTGTGCACTGGCTCTAGCGAAGCCGGAGACAGCGTAGTTACGGAGACAGGCTTGAGGCAGCAAAGTACCCAAAAATGTGAAACTGTGAAAGTCCAGAAAACGAACTGGTTGTGCGAAGGCGGCGGTGGAGGTCCTTATATCTGTCAGTGTTCCCCGCAAACAGCTTGCTCGGGCCAGAGTCGAGCACTGCGACAGGACGGTGGGTTATATGGTGGGGTCGAACTTTCGGAGTTTTAACCCCCGGTCTGCCAAGCGGTTAAGGGGACGTCACTTGAGCGGCAAAAATAATTTCAATTTGTTTGAAATTGCTTCCTTCATTTTTCTTTTCCTTTTTGTTTTAGCGTTGATGCTGCTAACTTCAGGGCGTGGGTGGACGGGTTGCCTATTGCCGGTTTGGGACGGTGCCAGATCCAGTCCACTTTTTTTTTTTCGCAGCCAGTCCCAGTGACGCAAACTGCTTGGCATAAAAGATGAGAATATCCCGTCGGAATAGAAATTGGTAGTTTTTTGTTTCTTTGCTCTGTTTCACAACTTCCGTATTTTCCTCCTTCTTGCTGCAAACGCATCAACTTCACTCACATACTGCAGCGCTGCCTCTCGCTTTGCTGCTCTATTGTCATCTCCCCTCCCATCCCCACGGACTCCCCTCCATCTATGAAGCCTCCTATTCTGCAGCCGTACCATATGAAGCTTCCCGTTTTTGACAGCCGCCTCTTCATTCCATAATCCTCAGCCTGAATGGACACTTGCCCCCGCTTGACAATGACCTTGTTTGATTGTATTGTGCGGCAGCCAGGGTGCCAGGGTGCATTTTCAGAAACAGCCCCGACCGTCTTGTGAGCCACACTTGCTTGGAGGTGGTATTTCTTTTGAAACTTTCTTTTGCAACCTAGCTGGCTCTTACGGGGCCCCGCCCATTGTAGTTAGTTACTTTAGACCAGCTTTGATGACCCCTCCTCAAATGTCAACCAAATGTCGTTTTCACGAAAAAGCATGCTTCAGAAGTCAAAAGGCTCTTTGTCGTGGCCTCCTTGACTGGTGAAACTTTCTACTGCTTTAGGAATCTGTGCATCGCTGCCTGATCACCGGCCTCAGCCTGCTTTGCTTTGCTGTTTTAGCTCCCCTCCTGGGCATTCCTTTGGTCCAGGGCTCACATGTCGCAAATCATGTCACCAAAGGGTCCACATGATTTGGTGGGATACAATGATTCAGCAAATAATTCGGCACTTCCAGAAAATTATTCTGCAAGTTTGGCAAATAATTCAGCGGAATATTTGATCATGGAGTTACCGCTTTGCCAGATCAATCGTAGGCACCGCCCAAACGATATTTCCTCTCTTGGCAAGATGTGGAATTACGAGTATGGAATCCAACTTCATGCCAATCCGCTCGGAAAACTGCAACCCCATGCTGTCATGGAAGCTTCGATCGAGGGGAATGCTGAAGACGCAAATCGTGTGTCTTCTCTAGATCCCCCGCCTGAAGAAAGGCAGGTACATCGACCAAATCCGCTCCACAGCACGACTGGCACGTTCTTTGTCCTCTGCACTGGCCACCATAAGCTCGTTGAGATCTCTGAGCCAGTCCTCTTGAAGTTTGCTGGGGATTATTTTTCTCAGGAGAAGCGTAAGGTTGATTGTCTCCACGAAAAGCTTTCCATCACCGATAAGCTTATCGTCCTGACCCTCTCTGTTCACCAAGGCACCCACCAGGTTGAGGCTCTTCAAGCACATGATACGCTGGCTCTTGCTGGAGTATCCTTCTCTGTGAAGGGCCAGGTTGGCTTGATAAAGAATGAAAAGGGAAGGCAGCACAGAAAGCATTCCGAAAAGCAACTGCTGCAGCTTGAGCAATTTGTCGATACCGCTGATTGCAATGGCGCCGTCAACCTTGGTTTTCTGGATTTGGATCAAAATGGACCGGATCAACAGACCCTGGATGATCAGCTTGTACGGCGTCTTGATCTCCTTTTCGTATTGAGACATCATCACTGTCAAATCGCCCTGGGCAACCTCCTGGCGGACCTGCTCCAAGTTCACGGTCATGCCGTTGTCTTTCATGAAATCAGTCACCATCCGCTCCAAAGAGTTGAGGTCAGACTGGAGGGACTCTTTTGAAGTGATGGTCATGGTGTCGTCTGAACGGAGAATCGCCAACATGTCCCAGACAGGTTTAACGACCCAATTTTTCCAGAATCCAACCACAGTGTCCACTAAGTTGAGCCTGATCCAGTCGACAATGGCAAGACGGTTTTGGTAGATGGAGGTGGTTGTAGATGGACCATACTTGACCAACAAGAGAAGCACAGGCCAGTAGCGGGCAACCAAACCTGGAGGACGGGTAGCCTTATACTCTGAAGTGCTTTTCACGTTATCCTCAATTTTCTGGAGCACTTCGCTTCTTTCTGGTTTGCACTCGAGAAGCTTGCCCAAAA